CCACACCACAGATCCCTTGGGAGAGTGACGGGTCACTCTCATGTAACCCCGTTACATCGGAGAACACCTCGCAGTGAGTGAGATATAGCTGTTGGCCACATACCGCTGGCAATAAGAATCCACTAGACCAAGAGCACTGAACACAGCAAAACCAAACATGCTGTCTTGCAGCACATTCCTTACAGGCATCGGTATATGCACCAGATTCGTGGCTCCTTTTAGCGTATCAAGTGCTAGGACGATTCGGCAATCACCGTGAGGCCGAAAACTGGCGTCGAGTAGGAGATTTTATACTTTTACATCTGAACCGCTATATGTTGTGCGATCAAGAAGCGACTCTAGCATCATAATGTTTCTTAGTTAAGGGCTAATGTCGTGTGACAAAGCATATTATATTTCGTGGAGTCAGGTCATTCATGAAGCCCTCCCAATTTGGAGGCAGGGATTCTTTTCCGGATATCGTGCGCATCCATCGGCAAATGATATCCGCTTGATACATGCCAACTGGTTTGCCCGCGGTGGGTTCGTCGAACGAGCTTATGTGAGATCTTGACCTCTCACACCCTCAGTCGACAGCGACGGACACGTCGGGCGTAGATGCCTTGTAGTACCACAGATAAAACATCTGCAGGGTAAAAAATTGCGTCAGCCGGCTCAAGGCCACAGATGATAAATTTGAAGTCGCGAAGACCCCGTGCGCCTGGGACGTGGGAAAGCTGGGTGCTTACTGAAATAGAATATCCCTCACAAAAGTTTATGCATCGTAATAGCTTAATTTCTGAGAATTTTGGAGCTCGTGAAGTAGTAGAAGAGCCGAAAAAAGTGCTAGGAGTCTGCGCGGATGTTTGGGTGCAGAATGCCCTATATAGAATTGATAGACTTAAGCTGAACGCACCTAGGACTAAGGTAAAAATGACTGATAAAGTTTTGCAGAGGAGTGCGGGGCGCCTGATACCAATTGCCTTGTCGCACCAATTGATTTAAGGCATAACTTAAGCAACATCATGCCCATAATCTACTCGTCGGTCGCTAGGAATGCGACAGGCTTACCGATGGCCAAGAACGAGCAAAGGAAATTAGTGTAACTGGTAAGTGACTCTGTTGTAAAAGTGCCTGAGATCTTAATTGTTTAAGCTGCATAGACTTGATAGGGCAAAGCTGTTCTTAGTCATAAATACTAACCAGTCAAAGTTTATTACGCAAAAACGGACTAATAATCTTAGTCATTATTCTATCTATAGCTGTGCCCTCTGGGCTCAAGCATACTACTTTTTCTGTTTGGAATTTGAAAGTGATGTATTAACCCACGACATAATTGTCGAGCGTATCTACTTGTTCGATTTAAAGTGCCTATGCTTGCCACCGTCAGAAGGGACCAATACTGATAATTGTGAAATAATTTGTATTCATCTCAAATCCAGGGATGTATGGATTGATTTAGCAGTCGGTACGGATCACCGGATCACCTTGCTTAAGTAAATGAGCTATATCACACTGAGCTGTTCTTAACGATCTTGCTATAAGGGGGCTTTAGCCAGAATGAAGAATTTTCGTCTTGTGTCAATGATCATATTCCATGAACCCTTATGTAGTCAGACGTCGAAGTGACCTTTTCATTCTTGGGACACTTTTGGGGGCACAGTAAATTGTTATGTAATTTGCTCGGTTGTCTATTGTTTGGCGGTTCTATCGGGCGACTTGCTTGGTGCAACGTCGCTGACACACATCAAAGAGGTCAGTTGGTGGTATAACACCATGACTTCGACCTAAGTCTTGGTCATAACCTTTCTGCATTTTTTGTGTCATTAAAGTGTTTGGATAGCACGACCATTTTGATCTCTTGTGTCATTGTCAGCTTTAGCCTACAACAAGTTGATCAATGTGGACATTTTAGTCAAAGTTAAGCCTACGACAGGTTGATTTTTTTTGTGGACATTGCAAATCAAGTTTTTTATTATAACTCATATCTGTGCTGAGCTAATATAGAGTATAGTGTGGGCACACGTGACATAAGTAACTATTAGTAATTGAGTCTGTTCATTTTGTGCTGCAGATCAAGCTACAACAATCATTTCTTCGGTAAAGGACAGTAGCTTTTCAATGAATATTGCTTGGTGTAAGTGAGCGATGCAACAATGAGAGTCCAACATTTGTCGAAACTAATAGATCACTATAGTATGAGAAGTCTAACTCACAAATCTTATTTATGTAGCGACCATATCTACGACATTTGACGAAAGAATCGTGAAGCAATTCAGATCTAATTAAAATGCTTACAACTCAAGCGTCAAATTGTGTAAAATCTTCAATAAAGATCACTTTGAGATTTGAGCGATTATACGGCGAAATTTTTACATCCAAGAAAAGCAAGTATCAATGTCTAAAACACTATCCATCGCACGTGTTTTATGCTGAAATCTGAATGTTTATGGGATACTCATGTCATAGACATTCAGAATTAAAACTTGGAATTCGACATTCCAAGCCAGTGAAATTTTTTGAGCACCAATCCAATTGAAATCTCGTCGTGTGATTGCTATCGTCTTTCGTCCTGTGCCAAAACTAGCGTCAATCCCAGTCTAAATTGAGTGATCAACTAGCATTTCCATTTTTCATTTTGGCGAACAACGCGCAGTACAAGCTTTTAACTCGTAACCTGTTG